ACATAAGAGAATATCATCAACATATCTGTAGTATAAAAAAACACAATAGTGACCTTAGAAAGTATGTTACTGATATATTTTGAAAGTTTGCTTAAAGGTGAACTTAAATCTGAAACGACAGGTCTATGAGGTAAATCAGGTTCGTGAACTTTTGGAAGACAATAACGTTTTAGCTCTTAATATTAACGTTTAGATAGAGCGCAATTCAATCAAACTTCGTATGGAAAGAGCATGGAATTTTTTTTGAAAATTTAAAAAAAATGTTTTAGGTATAACTTAGCGACAAATGAATGAGTTTTATTTATTCATTTGTTCGCTAAATTACATCTAAAAAACATTTTTTACATTTTTGAAAATTTTTCCATGCTATTTCCATACAAAACTTTGATTGAATTGCGCTTGAATTTCAACGTCGAACAAAAAATCCTCAATTATATTCAATATTATATATATATATATATATATATATATATATATATATATATATATGTATGAGTAAGTTCTTGTAGGGCGATACATCGAAGAATAAAAAGCGAAGATTTATAAATTAATCTTTAATTCCAAACGTTTCGACTAATACATCACTAGAAATTAGTACACAACACTAGAAATTAGCACTAACATTTATACAACTAACTTGTCAACACTTGTCAGTTTTGTTTGACAAAAATGTGAGTAAAGTTAAGTAATTTCTGCCACGACTTGTGTACTTTGCACTTTCCGAGGCGCTTCTAAAAACACATGTGTACACATCTTTAGATGTAATCTACCAAAGTTAATATCCACTGATGATGACATTAAATTGAATGTCGAAACGTTTGAAATTAAAGATTAATTTATAAATCTTCGCTTTTTATTCTTTGATGTATCGCCCTACAAGAACTTACTCATATATCTCAACATCAAAAATAACTACTAAATTATTAAAAAGGATTTGATTTTGAAGACGTTTCAAATTATTTCATAGCGAAATATAAAGAATTTTCTAAAACTTGCTACTGAAAGTGCGTTTATCTATTAGCAAATGGAAGAACTTCGATGTGATGCTGAATGTAAATTCATTCGCTTGATATGACTTATTTATTTTATATGTATATCACGTTAAAACAACATCATGGAATCATTTGGTCCATCATCGTAGAACTTGCTATTTATTTATATAATTTAAATATCTATATTTTACGACTGGCTTTATATATATATATATATATATATATATATATATATATATATATATTAATGACGTATTAGATAAACAATATTCATAAAATTGTAATCGCGTTCTTTCCTTTATTTTAAGAAAAACTTCTAACATTAATAGTTAATGCTAAATTATTTTTACACATTCAGAGTGCTTTTGATAAGCGAGTAAAGCAGTTATCGGTGACAACAGTTAAACCGGATCTCAATTTAGAAATTGGAAGAATCCTTGGTCTTCCTGAAAAAGAAATTCTTCAAATTCTGCAAAAGCAACCCGGAGACGTTAAACCCGATTAACTATTTTAAAATTGTATTTATTGTAATTCAATGTATGTAAGTTATGTTAATCGTTCATTACTAATAAACTGTGTCATTAAAATTAAGGCTAGTTCTTACATTCAAAACATTTTTTTTAATATAGTTTGATCTTATAAAATAAGATTATTAGTAGCCTGTCGCTATAAAAATGCTGCCAATGTCACACAGCAAAATTTAAAAAAATGCGTTTTTATAGACAAATTTAGAACTATTTCATCAGATTTAGGTTCTCCTTCAGTAAAATTGTCAAATATGTAGAGTGATACCCCACATGACGTAAATAAATCATTCCGGCAGATGGTTCGTTGTGCAAAAAGTTCGCTATGCGAAATGCGTTTTTCAATACAAATACATAAAAATAAAATTAATTCGTTCTGTTGTTTGAAATGTGGTCAAAAAAATAGGATATATTTTACATATAATTAAGACATTTAAGAAGATATCAATAATAGATTTACGAAATAGGTTATTATCAGAGTCGTACTGCTTTCTTTTGCGCATTTTTAGCTTCTGAATTATTAAAGAAACTGTCGATAGTCTTTTTTCCAAGTATATTTTCACAGTGCAGCAAAAATTTGCAATGTCCACTCTTTGAATTAATTTGAGCAAATAAGTTTTTGGCTACTAATGACAACGATTTAGTACGTTGTGTGAAGCAAAGTTCGTTGTGTGGAACGTTCGAGACAGAAAAAAAGTTTGTTATGCAGGATATCACTGTACTACACTAAAGTTTTGATATTATTTATTTGTCCACAAATGTTTCGTGATAATTATCTCTTACAATTAGTGCTTTTTCATCCAACATCACACATGTAATATGGTTCATTTACTATTACATTTTCATTTCAAATAAAAGTAATTTTTGTTTTGATAAAGGTTTTACACTTTATCGATTTTTACACAAGATTTTTGGTATGCCAATAGGGTCAAGTAATATTCTTTCCATTTCTGGCTTTATAATGTTTAGAAAATGTTGCTCTTCTAGAACATCTTGTTCAACATTTTATTTATTACAAATATGTTAATGATGGTTTTTAGTGCCTAATCAAGAGTTACATGTGTGACATTCCTAATTCGTTTAATTCTTTCAAATAAATTTTGCAATTTGCTTGTGAACTTGAATAGGATAAATAGTTTTTCTAGCATTAAAATTATTTTAGGTAATAATATTATTTACTGACAAGAATCAAAAACCAATTGGCATGATCGAGATATACATTTTTTTTTCATGAAACATTATATATATATATATATATATATATATATATATATAGCAATACAATAATATTAAACATATTATTGTGTTGCTAATGGACAGTTATTTTTTGAATAAGAATTAAATTTTTTTATGAAGATTTTCTGGTCGTTTTCCATTTCGTGGTCTTTAGCTTCCATTTAAAATAAAATGTTGATTGAATCGAACAATCTAAAAGATTGAGTTAACAATTCATTTTATATAAATGAGATTTTCATCTTTATATCATGGCACAATTTTTAAACAAAACATTAATAATTTCAAAATTTCTTTATCTACCTGTTAAAATATTTTTGCTTACTACATGCTCTGTCAGTTGAAAAATAATTCATCTCATTTTTTTGTTGTAACTGGTCACGCATTCTGGTATATTGAAAGTTATTTACAACTTTCAACATTTGTTTATTGTTTTTAGTTTTTTCTTCACTAATTGAATAACTCCTCTCTTTTGTGTGTATTATCCTGGTTAGATACATATTGTTCTCAATTTTATAGTACAAATAACAATAAAATCTATTTATAACAAGCAAAATAAACAGCTGCTATTTTGTTTGTACTTTAGAACTGCTAAATGATAATACACGTGTAGTGTCAAAATACACAATATAATTATGCTTGAAGGTAATACTTCAAACACATTTTTTATAATATTAAATACTCTACTAAAATTGTAATCCAACACGAGTACTACTTTTAAGAACATCTATACATAACAATAACATTCTGATCGTCTCTACAAATATGTTTAGAAAATCTTAACCAGTCTAGATTATCTAAGAAATTTAATAAATACTTTGTCAAAAAGGTTGTATTTCTGTAATGATAGTAATAAACTGAAAATGAATCCATATAAAAATAATCAAAACTTCAATTTGATGTATTGCATTTGACAAATTCATCAATAACTTTGAGGTTAATAAAAAATATTGTGATTATTGTGCAAATTAGCTGTTAGATGAGAACAACTTGAGTCACAAACCAAAAATAGTTATGAAACAAATAATATGCTAAACCCAAAGTTAAAGTAATTAAATTTGCTAAGCACTTTTACTTATTGTATAGAAAATTTCAATATAACACGACAAATGGAATAATATTAACTTATAGTGAAAACTTACTTTTTTGGACCATAAGTATAAACAGCAATCAAATATGAATAAATGATTAATTCATTAATCACTTTTAATTTTAAAAAATACATAACAATCACAGTTTATATAGATTGAAGGTAATGTCATTCTTCATGTAGCAACTGCATGAATCATAAATCAATATAATACTGTAAAATATCTTATTTTATCGAATGCTGTAGTTTTTATAAAGATATCATTATCAGATTATTACTATCGTTACAATAATGGAAATATATAAACAAATTCTATCATATTATAAAACAATTCCTCAATTATTCGAATCATCTGTAAAAAGCCTCTAAAATAAAAAGTGCATGACAAACGCATTTTAATAATAAATGCCAGTAAGTTCAACAATAATAATTTTAGTATTATTACATTAATGGGATGTTTTTACATTACATTACCTTCACAATATATACAGCAATATTCGATAGAAAGAAATCATCATACACTGATCGAAACAATTTATATTTGAGCACTTTTATTTAACAAGCCTCCCCATAATATTTATTTCAAACACTCAACATTCAAACTTGTCAAGTTCTTGTCTAGGGGTGAACAAGACGTCAAGCACGAACTCGTAAAACACGCAGTGGACGCAACGTCTAGGCCTAAATTTGACATTTCCCTAGATTGGCAATATCTATACATATGGCGCTATGCATAGATAAAAGAAGAGTATGGCACTTCAAAAATAGAAAAGGAGGCAAAAGCTTTCGAGCGCGACTTTCAATTTCTTGTCATTTAAGTTCATTTTTTTCTTTACCTTCTAATTATAATTATATGGGTATATAATCTCAATGTATATATAATATAAGCATACTATACACTTTGAGCATAGTGACTCAATTTTATTCAAAAAAATATGAAAGAAAACACAGGATTTAAATAAAATGGAATATATATATATTCATCTGATCATGTTTTTTTAACAATATGAACATTACATTCAACAATTCACAATATTGGTCATAGTGAACTGATTTATATATGTATTATCAAATAATTTGAAATCTATTCATCGGATTTCTGTTTTAAAACAAGTATAAAACATTGGTACAAAATTATGTACAAATTTTGTATCTGCCAGAAAATAATCTGCATACTGTGTTAATATACTTTAATATATTTTGTAAATAAGATACTGATATACATAAAACTGTCCAAAAGCAACACTCATCAGCAAACTGATTATTGCTCAAACAAATAAATTAAAAATTTCATATTCTATATTAAATACAAATATTCAACCTATGCATCCAAATCATTTATAAAAAGAACTTCTCTTGTTTTAAGTCCAGCTTGCGCAAGAGTCATTGATACACCACCACGGTTCACCTGCAAAACTCGCTTTGGAAAGTTTGTTATAATCTCAAACTCATCTGGAGCATCCGGATGACAAAAGACATAATAGAATATATCCTAAAAATTAAAAACAAATTTATATCAATAAGTAGGACAAGAAAGCTGGCAACATTATCAAAATAAGCTCCATATTGTGACAGAAAATTAATATACAGGTAACCGCTGTGCAACAAGGTACTTTTATAACACATCAGCTATAACATGTATTAAGAATAGAGATAATCTCCTTTATAACATGATGATTTTATAGCACAGATTCAATCTGACAGGGAAATTAAACTCTGGATAAGATTTTCACTCTGACTTGATAATTGAGCAAAACCCTAATAAAATGTAATAAAAGATTAAAAGCAAACTTCATCATCAATTTAAAATTAGTGAAATTACAGTCCAATAAACATAGTGAAACTAGTGCAAATGATACCTAATTTTATTATTCGAGCGTGTAAGTTCTATTGGAGGAAATGACTAGGCCTATTGAGCAACTAAGTCATATATTTGAAATAAAATAAGCACAACGTTTTAATAAAGTGAACTTTGCTTGTTCTTAACTTCATAGAAAGATTTTTTCATTAAAATCAAGCAAAAGAAAATAACAAAGTAGCAAGTAAAGATCTAGAGATAATACAGAAATTACTCAAAAGACAAGAATATCTTGCCAAAAAAAAAACTATTACTTAAAAAATATTTAAGTCAACTAATATGTATTTCTTCTTTAAAAAAAAATCCAATATACTTTATTATGAAATAATTATATGTAGCATGTTTCCTTGAAGTTTTGGAATGTAACCACTTTTTTTGTACAAGGCCCTTGTTTTGTATAACTCGGATTTACATAACACAGTACTTTTTGAAATGTATCTACTATGTTGTCTGGGGTTACCTGTATATGATATTTTTAGGAATGTTACCAGCAACTATACTATTACAAACATACTTCAATGGAATGACTAGACAGGAATCTACGTTCAAGACGTTTACCACAAGGTAGCTTTATAACAATAAATAGGACTTCTGGTGCATCAATCGGTGGTTCTTCTGGTATTTTTGCCATACATTCAATTTTTTCTTCAGCTATTTTCTGTATGAACAAAAGATGATTGAGGATTAGTATATATTTAAAAAATATTTCAGATAGGAATAGAATAAGTAAATTGATAACAATCGACTACTGGTATTGGCGCAAAGAATTTGTGATGTAAATTACACCAAAGGTCTCTTGTGGATAGTATTTAAACATTATGTTGATTCAAAAACATAACATACTTGTTTCCGTTGTTCTTCTTCTTGCTGCCGTTGCTTCTCTTCATTTTCTTTTGACTTTTGTTTCAATCTTTCTTGTTCCTTAAGTCGTTCCTTCTCTTGATCAGCTCGTAGTGATTGCTCATATGCCTCATCTTGTTGAGCTCTCAGAGATTGCGTTAAACTACGTTCATACCTGTTTTTTTTTTTAAATTATTTATAAGATTTTAAATATACATGTTACTATAACTATATCAACATATTTTATAGTACCTAAAAATTAAAACTATGTATGATATATGCATTAAAATAATAAATCAACAATATGGGAGATGGTATGTTGAAGAACATACCACATTTTATAGCACAAACACCAACTAGATAGTAGTTATTTCTTAGGCAATTTAAGAAAAATTATCCTTGAATTGCATAATCAATTAATTTTATGTGTTAATAAAGCATTAACAATGAATATAGAATAATATAACCCCTTATAGACACTAACATAGGAATATTTGTTTTCAAAATAGGTTTGTTGTTGTTTGAAGAAACAAAACAAAACAAAACAAAACAAAACAAAACAAAAAAAAAAAAAAAAAAAAAAACGATGGGAGTTGTCAACTATGAAAATGAAATTTTTAATAGGAATCAAATCAAGTGTTTAAAATGAAGAATTCATCCCTTTCCTTAAGAATTGGTAACATGCTAATAAGAAGAGTTTATTCACAAACTTTTCTCCAAAGTTGGGATAGTCACGAGAAAAAAAGTAAACTACTTCCTAAAAATAAATAAAAAAAATTATAGTCCTCTTTTAAATTTTAAATAGCATGGAAAAAATTTTGAAAATTAAAAAAAAATTTTGTTAGATATAACTTAGCGACAAATGAATTAAAAGTAACAATTCGTGTCATCTTTTATTGAAAATTCGACGCTCTACAAAAGTTTTTTTTATAATTTGTTTTGTGGAGCGTCGAATTTTGAATAAAACTCATTGATTTGTTCGCTAAGTTATATCTTAAAAAACATTTTTGAAATTTTGGAAAATTTTCCGATTCTATTTCCATACAAAACATTGATTGAATTCTATTTCCATACAAAACTTTGAATTACGCACTATCTAAAAGACAATATTAAGAGCTAAAACTGTTTTTATCAATTTGGTAGCATTTGAGCCTCTGGGAGCAAGGAAATTCAAAAATGTCCATATTAAGGACCACCCTAATATATATACATATATATATATATATATGAGTGAGTTATTGAGGGCGATACATCAAACAAAGAAAAGCCAAAGATTTATAAAATAATCTTTAATTCCAAACGTTTCGACATTCAATTTAATGTCATCATCAGTGGATCTAAAAACAGTATGAAAATTAGTATATCTAGGTAATTATAATATATGTGGATTGGTAAAGTAACTATACAATAAGAAAAAAATTAACAAACAGCAACACTTAACAACAAACCAAATATAAAAGATAGGAAAGGTAGTAGAGACTAGAATTAATTCTAGTCTCTACTACCTTTCCTAAAGGATATATTTGTTTGATGTATCGCCCTCAAGAACTCACTCATATATTTCAACATAAAAATTAACTACTAAATCATATATATATATATATATATATATATATATATATATATACCACCAAAGACACCCCAAAATATGTACAAGGTCCCGCGAACTTGCAAATAATCGTTTTACTAATCCATCAGTCATGTCCCCATACCAAAATATATTTAAGTTTTCAGTATTCGCCCGAATAGTAGTAATAGTATAAATGGAGCTGAATATTCCAAATAACAAAGAGTAACCAAATAGTCATTGCAAGGCTAGCGTTAATAAATAAGGGTTTAAACAAAACACCTTAAATATTAACCGCTATTTATTATTAATCAGCTATAAAAGTAAAAGATGAATAAGAAAGTTTCCGCGCATTATATATATTTACATGCAACAAACAATAATTGAAGAGAAGAAATTAAATTATACATGTGAATTAAATGCATATTTTCATTGCATCTGACATAAGCCATTTAAATGAGTTTTTATAGAAAAAAGTAAATATACTTTATTTTACTATACCTATCTGCTCTAGCCTGTGTTAAGTAAATTTCATTGTCGGAAAGGAGAGATTCAAGTCGTTGCAAAAACAAATCTTTATCTGTAGCACCTTCTATTCTTCCTACAACAGTCATTCTATGATCTCTCAAAGCCACAACGGCGCAAACGGGATATCTACGAACGGCTAAACTGTGGGCAACACGCCATCCTTCAGGAGATTGAATATTACAGCCCCATAATAGAGTGTGTAATGATATGTACTGTGAAACCTGTTCATGACTCAAAGTGTTCCTGTCAACAATAATAAGAAATATTACATATTAATTAAAAAAGTTATGGTACGGGGTACCATGCACAAGTTTAATTCGTTCCATAATCACACTCATATGTCAAATCGCATCATATCTCAAAGCAAATTTCGCCATACATATACATTGAAGGATCTTTGAACTAGAGCAAGCAATTTAATATAAGTTTTATTTTTGCATAAGGTAAAGGTAAAAATTCAAAAAAAAATTATCAGAGGATGAGGATAATCTTCCCACAAAGAAAACGTTTGCAATGAATATCACTTCGTTATAACAATGAAACCAAAACCTAGTTAATTAAATAAGTTTTTTTTTTTTAAAAAATCAATAAACATATTTATCTTTACAATAAAAATAGAATATTTATTTTTTAAATATTGGAACTTCATCATCTTTTTAACTAGTCCTTTTTTTCGTATAACCCGGATTTGCAAAACTCAGTACTATTTTGAAATATAAACCACTAAGTTACATGGGAGATTACCTGTATACCAGAAGTATTTGGTAGATTTCAATGTACTTCTTTTGAGAAGTTTCAGAAACAAAGCTCTTTTAACCCGTAGTTGGACATAATCAATCTGACAGATACAGACCAACCATTTAGTATGTTGTGCCATGATTTGATATTATATTGATTCCCCCAGTACTTAGTAGTCTCATTATTTTACATGTGCTATTTACTAGTTCAAATTACTTTGTGTAGTTTGATAATTGGAATTTTGATCTAAGAGACACACTGCGCAAAATGCTATTTGATATACAAAATTGCAAAAATCACTAAGTTTTCAAATCTCTGTTATTTACACAGTTCGTATAAATATTTCAACAAAATCTGTCATTTTTTTATCTATTTAATCACGTTACTTATTAAAAAAAAAAAAAAGTTTTTCCATCAGACATTTTGAAAGCGCATACATATATCTAAACTGCTATACAATAAAAATAATATTTATCTAATTTATAGATTCCTCTTATTCATAAAACACATTTAGAACTATAAACTGCATCAATAAAATAAATAAATATAATATATATATATATATAATATATATATATATATATATAATATATATATATATATATATATATCTATATATATATATAGATATATATATATATATCTATATATATATATATATATATATATATATAGATTCCTCTTATTCTTAAAACACATTTAGAACTATAAACTGCATCAATAAAATAAATAAATAAATATAATATATATATATATATATATATATATATATATATATATATATATATATATGTATGTATCTCTTCTCCATGCTTTGCGTGCTGGTCGCACAGAGCACTACGCGTCGCTCGAGGGCTAACTGTGTTTGTGCTATCTGTTAGAAACAAATAATTATGTGTTTTATACATTTTTACATTTACCTTTTTCTTTCTTAAATTTTTTATTTCCTACAGTAGTATCATGTAAATGTTGCGTTGTAAAATGTGTTAGTAAAGTGTGTTTTTTCCTGATCTGGTGTGTATAAATTGTTATTTTTTTTTAAATTAATTTTTCCAATGTATAAATTCATTTTTTAAAACTTTTTCTTTATAATGTAAATTTCTTTTAGCTGAATGATAAGACACATCTAGTCTCGAAACATATAAAAAATTAAAATAAATTTTCTACATTCAATGCATTGGCTGTTTTATTCATTTCAATATATATGTATATATATATATATATATATATATATGTATCATATACATAAAATTCTTCTGTACGAGTGTATGAAAGCAAACTCCTCCTACACGGTTATTATATTTATTTTGATAAATCTGTTTGAAGTTTGTTATTGGGAATTTTTAAGATGTGAATGATTATAAACTACAGTAATACTGTAAAAATAAATGGAAAAATTACAAAAAACAATGTATCATTGTTGTTTGAAAATTGAATTTGGGTTAAATTATGAGCTTGGACAATATTTGAATATAATATATTCATGATTATGAATAAGAAAAATGTACATTATTATTGCCTAAAAACAGCTGAAATGTGCCAGAATTAGAATAATAAAAGATCAGTATATGATTGGCAGATGAAATTATATAATTGTGTTTTTTAATTATTTTTTTTAACTTACGCATGTCGTTTGCCTTACTTTACTAATTTTTTCACAAATTTCTTAAACAATTTCCTTACCAAATAAATTAATTAGAAATTTTATTGTGTCAAAATTTCATTTGCTTGGCATTGGATATGCAATATTTAGTTAGTTAATTGTCGATTAAATTGTCACATATGAACCCGAATTTGACAAATTAATTCGCTTAAAATATGAACTTATTAATTATTAGTAACAAAAATGTAATTTAGATTTTATAATTACTAAATACCAATTAAAATATGGTACAAAATTAGAAAAACTATAGGCAGCATTATTGAAGCAATTTTTAGAAAGACTGCAATTTTCAATATGTATGCTATGACCATAAATAATCACAAAAAAGCCAATTAATTTATGTGGGATAAATTTGGAAAATCAATGTTTTTAGTAATGAATAAACAAAAAATTATTTATGAAAATAAATTCGTTCTAAAAATTGTAGTGTATAATTTTTGATATACAATTTTAATATATGATATTTGTTTGTTTGATATATGTTATATGGTTTTATGTGGCTAATTTGGATTTTGCCATATAATAGAGTTAAGTGTATTTAAAACATTTGTACATTTAATATCACTTATACTGATGTATATACTTTTCGAAGTAAATTGTAATTTGAAAAACAATAATAATTATTTTTTTCGCTATTAAAAAATTGTAAATTTTGAATGGAAGACATGAGTACAGGACGTCTGTTGGGTCTGCTAGTATGTGTGTGTATATATATATATATATATATATATATATATATATATATATATATATGATTTAGTAGTTAATTTTGATGTTGAAATATATGAGTGAGTTCTTGAGGGCGATACATCAAACAAAGAAAAGCCAAAGATTTATAAATAATCTTTTTCCAAACGTTTCGACATTCAATTTAATGTCATCATCAGTGGATCTAAAAACAGTATGAAAATTAGTATATCTAGGTAATTATAATATATGTGGATTGGTAAAGTAGCTGTACAATAAGAGAAAAATTAACAAACAGCAACACTTAACAACAAACCAAATATAAAAGACAAAAATAATTGCAATAATTGCCCTTCTACTTACATAGGTGAAACCGGACAAAATTTAATAAAAAGACTCAAACAACACGACAATAATTCGAAAAACCCCAACCAAAACCAAACTATGATAACAGAACACATAAAAAATTTCAAACACTCCTTTAACTTTTATAATGCCAGTATTCTCTACCATGAACGGAACACCATTAGAGACGTTTTGCAGAATCTTGTTTCATATCAATATGTGATCACGTGGTGAACAAAAGATCGGATTCCTCCTTACTCTGCGATAACTACCAAGTAATACTAAATAATGTTTCCAAATTTATTTCCTCTGAACAAAACTAATGACCTTACTAACCTTGCCAACACTTCCTAGTTTAATTTCGGCCTTGATACCCGAGCTTTACCTACCCATACATAGCAAA